GAACTGAGGTAAATGGTTTTAAATATTCAAATTAACTTTCTGGTCATTTTATATACAATTAATAAATTGATATTTTCACAACCTCTGAGTGCACAAGACTATGCCCACCCACCTTCACCACCTGTCTTAGACTTTAATGTATATGTCCAGAGAACCCACCAGTAAACCCTCTATTTGTCATGTGGCATCTCATGTTCAGAAAGACAAAAATAACTAAAACTTGTGACACAAAATAAACAGTTTGACCAAATATATTTGGAATTTCTGAAAAGGTTAAGASTAATCGCACAAGACGTTTGTAAAAGTATTATAATTAAAATGATTGTAAAATATCCATACATATCTGTTCTTGTTATATGAAGTCAAATGTTAAATCTAAATTAAGTTCATAGTGAGCTACTACTTAGCATATCACAACAGCCGAACTTAATCTGCTTTTGATTCGAACAGCAGGCGAGTTTCAGTCTGAATAGTCTCTCAGCTGCAGTGGCTTATTTGTGGCACTGTGCTGATAAAGGGAAAAGAGGAGAGCCGTTGGTCTCATSGCACTTTGTCTCGTGTACAACTGGCCCATGTTTCACAATACTCTGAGCATTGTAAGGATCAGATCCAATATTTAATCCAAACCCCATCAGTTTATAAAAAAAACAGAGGCAAAAAGAAGGAAGTTATTTATTGAATTATTCAGCCAAAACAAGCTGTAACCATATTATCAATACTCAGACTGAGGGATTTGTTTTAATCAAAACTTTTTCTGCATCAWAAAGTTCAAAACAACATTGGCATGAATTCAGAGTCGTATATGTACAGTCAGTTTTGAGCAAACGCAATTTTATTGATTTTTCAACTGTTTCATTGGTGCAAAAGACACACTGACACACATTGCTCTTTGCTATACATGTTTAATTAATGGTAACAGATTATAAATCCACACATTCTCCCGTGTAAATATTAAAACTAAGTAATTATAGGTATATGTAAACAACTGTTTAATAAGAAACTGACTGTAAATATAATGTAAAAGCTTATATTAAATACATGGCTTAAATAAAATCATGGACTCATTTATGAAAAAGGTCTATTTTAACCGTGTAACCCCACGGGTCCAGATGTGGTCTGCAAACATCTGCCAACAAGTAAAAAAGACATCTGAACTCAAGACTTCTTATGTTGTACTCCATCTTGCTAAGCAGGTGTTTAATTTTTGTTTGTTTTGAATGTTTTGTATTAATTTTTCAAACAAGAGTACAAATTTTACACATGCATTTGAGCATGAAATGAAGTTACAGCACTGTATGATGGTTTATATACAGGTGTTGGACTATTAAAGTGAAACACCTGTCATTTTAGTGTGGGAGGTTTCATGGCTAAATAGGACCAGCCTGGTGGCCAATCTTCATTAACTGCACATTGCAACAATAAGAGCAGAGTGTGAAGGTTCAATTAGCAGGGTAAGAGCACAGTTTGGCTCAAAATATAACAATGCACACAACATAATGTGTGGCATACCAGAGTTCAAAGATGACAAATTGTTGGTGCATGTCTTGCTGGAACATCTGTGACCAAGACAGCTAGTCTTTGTGATGTATCAAGAGCCACAGTACCCAGGGTAATGTCAGCACCAAGAAGGACGAGTATATATATATATA